TAGTCAAGTTGAAAGAAAAGATCTCACCACACATACTCGATTTAATTAAACAGCAGCGGCTATCCTATTTGGTAGAAGGTGATGTCAGTTGATATTTAATTAATATTATTTAAATACTGAAAATGTTTTTTATTTTTTTTCTTTTAGGCACCCGTTTTTCCAAATACTCCCGCGGCACACGTTCCAAAGATAAATTTTGGTATGCTCGCCTCTCACCCAATCATAAGGTTATACATTATGGTGATTGCGATGAGAAAACCGTGCCAACTCTTGAAGAACTTACCAACAAAGTAACCGTTAACGATATAAAACAGTTGCTCGAGGGCAAAGAATGTCCACATATGAAAGAAATGCGTACACGTAAAAATGCTGGTAATCTGGCTTTCTCTATTACGCTCGATTGTATGGAGAATACCACATTGGATTTTGTAGCACCAGATGAAACTACATTCCATTATTGGACAGATGGTATAAATGCTTTGCTGGGTCAGGAAATGACAAGTAAACAAAAGAAGGAAGATTTCGACACTTTATTGTCAATGGAAATCAAATTACGTTTACTGGATACCGAAGGTGTGGACATTAGCAAAGATCCACCACCAATACCCGAAGATCCAGAAAATTATGATTTTTGTTTCGAGAGTTAGGAAGGTGTTTTGCGTGCCTTGCATTATTCTAAGTTTATGTATTGATGTTGTGATGAAAACTCAAATAAGAAATTCCAAGGATCTTTTTTCGAAAAACATGCCAAAGTAAAGTAAGTCTAAATTTAATACAATATTAACAATATGTATTGTTTTCTATGTTTGTGTGACGTCCCTGTGTAGGTCCCTTAATAGCGGAACTTGTATAATATTTTATACCAACCTACAAGTATATACAACGGAAAACAAGAAATTTGAACAAAGCATCAGATTATTACATAAATAATAGATATTTGTATTTTTTTTTTTTAATAATATGCAATATTTTTATTCACGATTATGCCGCTACAGCTTTCGTGGGAACAACAAACTACATATATATTTATTTTTACATGCTTTAAGCTAGACATAGTACGCATTTTTTTTTTTTTTTTTTTGTTTAATACAACATATGAATTTAAAATCTTTAAACTGTGTTGTACGAGACTTTTTTGTACTGCTTTGGGGAATTCTTGGGTGCTACGCGAGTTCTTATAAGTGTTTTTTCTATTGCTTTCATTATTTTTCCAGCAGTTTACATTGCTGGCAACATCGATAATTTATAAAAAAAAAAAAATTTTTTTTCTCAATATTATAGTTCAATATTATAGTTTAATATTATAGTTGATAAGGCCGATAGATATACTGTGTATATAAGAATTCAAAGCTTATTTTTAACACTTTACGCAATGAACGTAAATTAATTTACATAATTTTCTTCAAAACATATAAAGACTTCCAAGATAATCCGGATCGTTTCGGTCACATCGACCAGAATCCTTGTAAACCCGTATTCGAAAGCAAGTTGCTAAACATTTTTTTCATTTCAAAAAACACATTTCGGTTAATATACAAATGAGCTTATTAGGCGTTTTAGACCACGCATTTGTACCATCCTGGAGTTAATTTTGTACAAGTATTATTACACACAGACAACGCGGAATTTTCTTTAAGCTTGTTTCTAAGTTTTAGCGGAACAATATACGTAATATAAATTGTCACATCTTTCACAATCATTCTTAATTTGTTTCTTAATAACAATGTTTTGTAGACTTAAGCCGCGTGTTGGATTTATATTTAATCAATTAGTCTTCTTTCATTCAATGTGCATTTAGCTGCCAAGAGGTGGTTTTATAACCCGCTCATTTGAATTAAGCTATTTATTATCCATGTGCTGGTATTTTACGGCGCCGCGCATTAGCGCGTACCTAAGTTTTCAATCAAATATTATCCTCCATGAGTAGATCATTTTCATCAATCCGATCAGGTAGACAAACAAAGAATTCCAATAAATTCAGAATAGGGCCACGTGAGAATGGATTCTGATAGCGGCCACGCTTGTCACGTAAATATGGATAACGTTTATAATTGAACATCTCATTAGTGGTGAGATTCATGCAAGCATGTAATATCTGTGAAGAAAGTATGGTTATAAAAAAAAAGTATCACACATGTTTATCTAAATTAGTATGTGTTAACTATGCAACATACCGAAGTGCAAGTCAATATCCATCCGAGTCCGCAAAAGACCACCGCCTCCAGCAAACCCAAGACATAGAGCAATGTAAAGCCCTCAATCATTACACAGTAACAAGCAAAGTAAATGGTAAACGAGCAATTTACCGCCACTGAGAGTACGAACAAGAAGAACCACATACGATTTCGCAAGCCCACACAATTATAGATGAACGGACAATGATGATCAAAATACGAAACACAACGGTTGCAGACGCGACAATGTTTGGCACGTAACGGTCGTAAACAACGACAGCTGTGACACAAACGCGTCAAAATTACATTACGTTTTTTCAACTTATCAAAATACGGTATTTGTTTGATGGCGCGATAGTAAGCGTCTGAGCTGAGTGGTATGTAGCCGGGATCTCGGCGATTTGCAATGACCCAACTGATCCACATAACAGCATTCCAATAGATGAAACAATAATGGGAGCGGCGAAGTATGTTCCAGGTAATTGGTATGGCCTTGAAAATTTATAAAAAAAAATTTATTAAATAAATATAACAATTGTCTTTGTGTAAAAGTGTATTTGTGTACTAGGTCTTGTTTGTTTGTAACATTATCATCTTCTACGCATTATTTATCACATTTTTTTTTTCCAACTAACGAACATTATCATTTTTTTTTATCTCTAAATATAATGAGCTTTAATTTGTATTATCTTTCGCCGCTGGCGAAAAATCTTACCCTTATCATATACATAGGATATCCCCATAACAGCACTGAGAATAAAAAAAGTAGCAATGGTCCCTTTGAATCGCCAGCACCTCCAAATAACCAACCCCAAATTTCTGAAATCGACGGAATCCAACGTGATTTTTTCTTAACCTCATTGTACAGCAAACGCACAATATCCTGATGTTGATGTGCCTGCGCCAACATTATCGGTGTTTTACCATTTTTGTCACGCGGTTCTAAATCCATATTGGATTTTTCACACAATAAGCGTACACAGGTCATATTGCCCGAAAGACAAGCCAAATGTAATGGTGTCGAACCGAAATTATCAGTTTTCTGCAGTTCAACGCCAGAGTACATTAGCAAACGCATTAGATCGGCATGACCTTTATAGGCTGCCCAATGCAAAGCAGTGTCACCATTTATGTCCGTTAAGTGATTTAACGCACCCATGCCGAGTAAGTAAGCAGCAGTGGCTGTCTTGCCATACATACAGGCGCTCATTAGCGGTGTAAGACCTTTAAAATCAGCCGCATTTACAGCAACACCTGCCTGCAACAATACTTGAACCACAGCCGCATGACCTTTGCGACACGCCCAGTGTATAGGTCGCGGACCCTGTGTACCCAGGCAGGGTAAATCAACTGGTGCATTTCGTTCGATTAAATAACGCATCATTTCCACATTGCCATTCAACGCAACCCAATGGCCTGGCGTATAACCATGTCGATCGCGTGCCGACAAACATTCTATTCCGAATTTCTCTACCAAATTTTCCACTTCACATACTTCGCCATTTTTTATCACATCAAATATATCATCTAAATGTGCCATAGCACCGTCGAGACCCTCGAATAACAGTATATTGCTATCATCGTGATCGTCGATGGCACCATCTCCTCCAGCCGTGTGTCCAACTCTGCCGCCAACATTGTTCACACCTACGCCGCTACGTACACCACGACGTAACGACGGTGGTGAGTGCGGTCGTTCTTCCGTGTTGGCAGCGCTATCTTCTTCAGCGACCATGTTACATGATGTCAGGGGCAACGCCCACACACTGCGGGCGGCCCCCGGACTAGGGTGCACTTTACTGTGCTGCGTTCTGATGATGTCGCCGCTGGCCACGTTATAAAAATCCGTTCTCTCCACAATCACAGTGCCCGAAGCCGAAGGCGATTGATGGAGCGGATTCTCAAGTAGATGGGAAATCTTGTTTGCTTTACACTGTTCACTTCGTTTTATGAAACTTAAAACTCCGAAATAATTAAATTTCACGAATTTTTTCGCTTTTTAGTATATTAAAATTAGCCTTTAGTATTAAAGGGCTGGTTATAAATAAAAAATTTAGAATAGTAAAGGAATTTGCTAGAACGTTTTCACCGAGGAACTTGTAAGGATATAATGTAATGTTGAGCTAAAAAGAAATCAATAACTAACTGAACAACTTTTTCGTTGTAATAGTCCTTGACAGTTGGTGGAGGTATTTGAGAGTAGAGCAATAAAACAAATGAATATGGTGAGCAAATTAAACGTTGTTTTGCATGCTGAGAGAGACTGAAAACAACAAATAACTCTCGGCTCCAGAGATTGTAAACGGGATCTACGCCATTTAATTGGTTCCGGATATGCCTACAAAACGAACGGTAAAATATCGTATCAAAGGCACCACTTTCTACCTTGTTTATTTTGTTTGTAAATCTATTGCAGCCTAAAAGTATGCTATATATTATGTTCACGTATTTATATGAGAAACAAAACATCCAGTTTAAATGATAATATATAAACAAAAGTTTTTAACAATAATTATCAAAAGTTTTTAACAATAATTATCAAAGCAAAAACAAAACTTTAAAATAAGCATAAAAAATAATGAATATTAATTGTATGAATTTTTTTTGAACATGCACATCGATTTATAAGTATGGCATCACTTTTCGCACAGTTTACTTTTGACAGTTTTCGCTGCAACGGGATTTCGTGAAACGTGGTGCAGAAGCTTAATTTTTGGATAATAATTTCGAGGCATGTTTATTTATAATTAATTTGTGATAAACTTAGCTTTTGTAGCTTAGTGAAGTGCTTGAGTTATGTATAATATTGTACAAGTGGCAGGTGCGCCAAGATCTTACCTTATAACACCCGGTATAAAACACCTATACGCTCAATGCCACATTGCGGTAGTTACCAAATCGCAATCATATTTTGTTGGTATTAATGGTAAAATAGAACATGAACAGACCAATTCCAAAGAACCGCTACGAAAGCGACTAGGGCATATATTTTATGCAAAAAGCAACAAGACTAACAACCTTCAAAGAAGAGGACCACCACAAGAGACTTTCTGTCGGCGCTACGCAACATTGGTCGGTGTCTGAAAAAATAGTTAATATATCCTATATATACTATACTTAGTACTTTTATGATAAAATAAATAGAAAATAGTATATGTATATTTTTTTTTGTTTTGCCAGCACCAAAATTCAAAAGTCAATAACATTAATATGTCTTTCAAGCTAATAGCCGCGTGGTGCATGCGCATGATTCATACAAACATTGTTAGTAATACCAGAGAACGTATATTTCTGGTAATACTTCATAACATAGACATCAAAATGTTGCGGCGTAGAGTGTGAAAAAGAGAAGAGAATTGAAACTATTTTCACTATAATTTCGTTTGACGTTGTACACCACAAACTCATTAAGCTCGCAGAAGATTGCATCAGTCAACGTTCATATGAAAAAATAGATATAAAAGCCAAGTTGGCAATAAAAGAAATTAATTGAAGTGGCAAATTTGTCTTTGACAAACAATTAGAAATATTGAGTAATTAATTTTCATTGTAGAAGGAGAGACCACAGACAATATTTTACTGTTTTTCAGTACTTGTACGTTTATACATAAGTAATGCCATAATTATATTAATTACGTTAAAAGCTTGAGTTTTTAATGTAATATTTTACTTTTGAAGAGAACCTTACCCTTCTCAGTTTGATAAATATAACTATATGTATGTTTTATAAAGCAAGTAGTTAATAATTTGTTTTAACTTTTCTAGGTTTCAAAAATGAAGAAAGAGAAGCAAAAGAACGCACCTGCTGCAACCGGCAAAAAAGGTGAGCAAAATTATATCAATTCAACTGAATGATTCATATTTTAAATTGCACATTCAAATATATATACATATATCAATGTTGAATTGCAGCAAAAGTGCAATTGATTTTTCTCACTGTCTATGTACATGTTTTCATTAATACTTTTTATTGCAAAAAATTAAAATTTCAGAATTGAATCCTTTGCCAACGTATATTGAAGAGCGTAATGCGCTCTGGGAAAAATTGAAGATCGAGCGTGAGGCTGAGTTGGCTGCCAAAACCCGTACACCTATTAAGGTAACATTGCCGGATGGCAAGCAAGTTGACGCTACTTCATGGGAGACCACACCTTACGATGTTGCGAAGGGTATTAGCCAAGGTCTGGCTGATAATACCGTTGTAGCGAAAGTGAATGGTGCAGTTTGGGATTTGGATCGTGTACTTGAGCAGGATTGCAAATTGCAGTTGCTTAAATTTGAGGATCCTGAGGCACAAGCTGTTTTTTGGCATAGTTCAGCGCACATCATGGGTGAAGCCATGGAACGCATATACGGTGGGCATTTATGCTATGGACCACCAATTGATAATGGTTTTTATTATGATATGCATTTGGATGGAGACGGCGTAAGTGTATTACACATATATGTTCGTTTAAAGGACATGATTAAATATGTTTTGTTCCAGATTTCTACCAATGATTATGCTAGCATGGAAGGACTGGTAAAGCAGATTGTTAAAGAAAAACAACCATTCGAACGGTTGGAACTGAAAAAAGCCGATTTATTGGAAATGTTTAAGTACAATGAATTCAAAGTGCGCATTTTAAAGGAGAAAGTCAATACGGAGACAACCACTGTGTACAAGTGTGGTTCTCTTATTGATCTGTGCCGAGGTCCTCATGTCCGTCATACTGGCAAAGTAAAAGCTCTGAAAATTACGAAAAACTCTTCTACTTATTGGGAAGGCAAAGCTGACGCTGAAACATTGCAAAGAGTTTATGGCATTTCATTCCCTGATCCAAAACAATTGAAGGAATGGGAAAAGATACAAGAAGAAGCAGCTAAACGTGATCATCGTAAAATTGGTCGAGAACAGGAGTTGTTTTTCTTCCACGAATTATCACCAGGCTCGTGTTTCTTCCAACCGCGTGGTGCTCACATTTATAACACTTTGATGAACTTTATAAAATCGGAATATAGAAAACGTGGTTTCCAAGAAGTCATTACGCCAAATGTATATAACTCAAAACTGTGGATGACTTCGGGCCATTGGCAACATTATGCTGAAAATATGTTCTCATTCGAAGTGGAGAAAGAGAAGTTTGCACTTAAACCTATGAACTGTCCCGGACATTGGTAAATGAAATTTGCTTTGTAATAAGTATTAAAATCGACACTCAATGAAAATCTCTCATTCCAGCCTAGTTTTCGACAACCGCAATCGATCGTGGCGGGAACTACCTCTACGTATGGCTGATTTCGGAGTATTGCATCGAAACGAACTCTCTGGTGCACTTACTGGTCTTACACGTGTACGGCGTTTCCAACAAGACGATGCGCATATTTTTTGCGCACCTGAACAGATAAAGAACGAAATGAAGGGATGTTTGGATTTCTTACGACACGTATACACTATATTTGGATTCTCATTTAATCTCGTTTTATCGACACGTCCCGAAAAGTATCTCGGCGAGTTGGAGCAATGGAATGCTGCTGAGAAGGCACTCGCCGAATCATTGGATGAATTCGGACTACCTTGGAAAGAGAATCCTGGTGATGGCGCTTTCTACGGACCGAAAATTGATATTACCATTATGGATGCACTGAAGCGGGCTCATCAATGTGCCACAATACAATTGGATTTCCAGTTGCCACAGCGTTTTAATTTAAATTACATCGCCGATGATGGCGAAAAGAAACGACCGGTCATAATCCACCGTGCTATTCTCGGTTCAGTTGAGCGTATGATTGCCATTCTTACAGAAAACTATGCCGGAAAATGGCCGTTCTGGTTGTCGCCACGTCAAGTGATGGTTGTGCCCGTCGGTCCGCAATTCGATGAGTATGCGCAGTCTGTACGTGACCAATTGCATTCAGCAGGATTTATGGCAGAAGCTGATACGGACGCTGGTGATACCTTGAATAAGAAAATACGTAATGCTCAGTTGGCGCAATTCAATTTCATACTGGTGGTGGGCGAGAAGGAACGTTCCTCTGACACGGTGAATGTGCGTACACGCGACAACAAGGTGCATGGGGAAGTCTCAATCACCGATCTGATAACCAAGCTGACCAAGATACGTGACGAATTCATTACAAATGAAGATAGCTTCTAAAGTTTATGAGACGCAAAAGCACCAATAATTTATTTCCTCCTCTTCGTATTATCTATGCAAATTATAATTAGAAGCTTTAAAAATGTTTGCAAATTCAAATAACTATTACACATAAAACCTCGAACGCATAAATAATTTGAGTAACATTTGTGAAATCTACTTTATCCAATAAAACGTATTTTAAATGGGTCAGTAAATTTAATTGGTTTAAATTCAATCAGTAAACAGATGCACTCATTCCGCTCGTTCACTCAATACTGACGTCGGCAGCGATGCCGGCGTCGTCGTCGTGCAGGCGCTGAAATTCATTTTAAAAATCCTCGATTTACACCAGGCGCCCAGAAATGTGCAGTAGGTGGATGATCGAACTCGTTGCAACATGTTGCATGAGAACATTCGAACACGTTGGGTTCGGGGTTGCATCGAACATGTTGCAGCCGCTCGGTGCAGCGCTAAAATTCGTTTTACGAATCGCCGAATTGCACCAGGCCCCCAGAATCGTGCAGTAGGCGGATGCGAAAAATTTATGCTGCAGCTGGTTGCCATATAATTTTTTATTTCTTCAAAAACGAATATACACAGAAAGAAAAGAATTAACAGAACCAACGTATATTTAAAGATGAAATAGAAAAACATGAACGCAAACAGGCGTTTTTATGCAACTAATTTCCATTGCATTTAAATATTAATAAAAAGTAATAATTAAATAATCACATATATATGCACTTAGTGTAATAAAATTAAATTTTAAATATATTATATAATCCTTTGGATACATTTTAAACAAGTGTTTGCCTCAGTCTGCACATATTTTACAATAAGTTCCTGTTGATGGTTGTCTTTTCCATGTGACGTACTTGTCAGTATCAAATAATGCGCACGAGTCTGTACATATTTGCCACATATTTCGCCAATAAGTTATATGTAATCCTTTGGATACATTTTAAGTAATAGGCGCATATCGTGTTTGCATGAGTCTGCACATATTTTCCACATATTTCGCCAATAAATTCCTTCCGCTGTCTTTTCCATGTGAAGTACTTTTGTCCGTATAAAACAATGCCCAGTCATCTAAAAATTATGTACTATTTATAATTACACTCAAATTCATAAAGCATTAAAATCGAATATATTTACATGAATTATCAAATCAAATACCATAAATGTTGCTCCCAGTTATTTATAATTGTAGTTATAAAAGTTTATAATAAGAAAGACTATCACAGCCACGCGTATTCGCWCAGCTCAACCGGTAAATGTCAAATAACGCTAACCACACAAGGACGATGCGAAGGCAACAAAAATTGTGTTGTGTCATTACTTCAACCAACATGTTCGTTGTATGAGGTTGCCATACAGTAGATTTAGCTTACTTTTAAATATTAATAATAACTTTCTACATTATATTTAACGTTCTTAACGTAACACAATTATGGAACTGTCATTTCTGTTGCTGCTAAAAATTTGTGTCAACAAATTTACGTATGCATAAATGTTCGTTTTTATTCTGGTGGAATTTATGCAACCTACGTAGGGTCTGAGTGTTATTTTTGTACTTATTTTTTTGTTATTTACTTTCCTACTTACACGCAAAATGTACGAAACAACAAAATTAGATAATGGATTATGTATTTCAAAAAACTTTATTGCAAATATGTTATTCCTTTAAAAATATTTTCACGTAGCAAGTGCAATTTCCACTGATCATTCAAATGCTTTAACTTAATGTGTAATTTGCTTAAAATGTTTCGTTTAATTTTCATATAAACTTCATTACGCTTACTTTTGGTAGTTATTTGCTTTTTACGTCAATGATCGCAATCTCATAATTTAATTAATGCTATTGTTAAGCTGCATTAGAATTTTCATTTTGGCGGGCATTAATTCGAAGCTAGTCAAATTTTTGAATGTGCTTTTTGCATGTCATTGATAATAAGATGACCCAATTTGTTGTATTATTAAATCATTTCGTTTTTTTTTTTTTTTTTTGTTTTGTCATTTTGTTTTTAATCTTTAGTTGTGTTAGGCTGAATATGTGGTTTTTAAAATAATGTGACTGTCGGTTTTGCAATTAACTATATAATTTGTTATTCAGCGAGACATTGCTTTAATCTTCATATGCTTGAACACACAGTGGTAGCCGGTGAGCAAACCTACGTATAGATGCATTTTTACAGTCTAAATATTTTCAGCAGAACTTAAAATAAAACTAGAGGAAGTAAAAATATGAATAGCAATAACAGGTACTGATAAATGTTTGGTATTTTCATGTCTTTGAAAAAAGTTGATTGAATAATTACTAAAAACTCAATATAACATATATTTTTTACAAGTGTGAGGAACCAAAACTATGAATCCGAGTTTAACAAAAGCCAACGCAACGAGCAGTTTTTACGATAGATATATAAAATTGTGTAAACTGTGGTTCTACCATCTTTGAAGCTTAGCACATGTAAAATTGTTCAATTATTTCTCTATAAGAAGTTAAGTAAATAACTCAATTGAGTATTAAAAGATAATAATGTTTTACATTAATACAAATTAGATAGTAACACAATAAAATAAACAGGAATGTTAAGCAATTTTAAAAGTTATATTTATAAAATTGTATTATATTAGATATATGTACATATATAAGTGCATCCAAGTGAAATATATATGCATCGATTTTAAAAAATTAGCTTACTATATCAATATGTATTTATCATTTATGTAATCTGCGTAAACAATACTGAATATAAAAACAAATTACCTATTTTTCAACTGAATAAAGTTCATATGTATGCTTCACCTTTTGTATATCCTTTGTATTTGCACACCTTGACAAATTCAGCAGATTCTTATTATTAACTAAATATTATTTGCATACCATTTGTGCACATCATTTCGCTGTTTAATTTATATATTTTTGGTTAGTTTACCCAAATCAAGTTCAAATTATATATGACTAAAACATTTAAGTATAGTTACAGACATCAGGATTGTAAGATTATATATAATTTTAGGTAGGGAGATATTAAAACAAAGATTTTTAAAATTTACAAATTGTATGTTTAGCATAAAACGAAGTCTGTGCAGTGAAATATAAAAGTTATATAATTATCTTAAAAAAATACACATTCGGCTAAATTGTATTTCTGGAAGTTGCAAATGCATTTTATGTAGGTGTACTTGAGCGCCATGGCTCTTAAATTTCTAGCAATTTTATATGCTATATAAGTGTCAGGTGCATTTGCATATTGTTTTTAAGTAGGCTGGCATTTTTTCGATCATTTCACAATATTCAAAGCTACATAAATATGTATTTATGAAATTTTATGATTCACAATTATTCAAATGCTTAGTTGTATTAATGTTGCTTTTACTTTGTAAGCACAAAACTATCAGCTAATCCCACCAACTACCAATCGTTCTTCGCTGAAAAATGCTTGACAATTTCAGTCTAATTTAGCATTTGTTTTTAGACCGTTTCAGTACTAATTGTAATATAATGATATCATATTTAATCATATATATTAAATGTTTTTATGCGCCTACTATCCACCATAAAGATCAATTGTTTATTCAGTTAATCGATTTTAGTTTTATTTACGTTATAAATAAACTTAAACATAAAATTGTGTATCTCTTCTTAAGCCTTTTTATACTTTTCTACATCGTCATCTTCATACTGTTAAATTACCATTCGGTGCTCTAGACTGCTATAATTATATAATTGTTTTTAAAATTTTTTTAGATCGTTCACTACATTCGTTGATTCTTCAGCAGGCACAACCACCCTCGGGATCCTTTGATTCATTTGGTGAATCTTTCAGCACAACCTCTTGCATATCTTCCGAGGGTTTATTTTCTGTCGAATCCATTCCAGGCAACGCAGCCGCTACACGCCTAAACAGCTGCTTCACATTATAACCGGCCTTCGCACTCGTCTCGATAAACATCACATTCAACTCTTTAGCTTTCCGTTCACCCTCTTCGGTGGACACCTGTCGTTTGTCCGATAAGTCTGTCTTGTTGCCTACTAACATGATAATGACGTCACTACCTCGTTCCGTGCGAACGTCATCAATCCATTTGGAGGTTTGGTGGAAAGAATTTGTATTTGTTATATCGTAGACAACAACGGCTACAGTAGAGTCGCGAATATATGAGGGGATAAGTGAACGAAAGCGTTCTTGGCCGGCAGTATCCCATAATTGCAGACGCACGGTTCGATCTTCAAGGTACATAGTTTTCGAAAGAAAATCAATACCAATTGTCGCCTGATAAGTATTGTCGAAGCTATCGTACATGAAGCGTGTGATCAGCGAAGTCTTACCGACACTCTGTTCGCCAAGGAACACAAGCTTAAATTTACGCAGGGGATTACCAAACTCGCCGGATGACATTTTTTAAATATAAGCTGTTTAAATGATTGTAATTATTTAATTAGTTTATTTTCCCTACTGCACTAAAGATATCACCTTTACGGTCCTTTCTTTAAATGTTGCTTATAGTTCACTCCTTTACTTATTCTTCTTGCACTTGTCTTCGTCGACGTTGGCGTAGTTGCTTTCTTTTTTTCTCACTGCTGACCTCTTTGCTTTGGGTTGGGTTTTTTTATTTTCAATGCACTGTTAGTAAACTTTTCTCTCTCAATTATTTTTGCTGTTGATGTAACTTTTTCCTCAATATTTTAATACGTGTTTCTTATAATTGAATTACAAATTTGTGGATTTATAATTTTCACCTACACTTTTTAGATCGCTTTTTCATTAGTCACCGTCAGCAATCTTTCTATAACGTTTGATTTACACTACTTTACCGACATGTGTCGTGTTAATAAACTGTCAAATAGGAAATTTTCATTTCACCGCTCTTCCATTTCGACAATAGAGTTACCATTTCCACAAAATAACTCTGTGAAAATAAAAATTGATTGTAAATAATAATTAGAATATGACTAATATATCGATATTTGTATAAACATAGATATTTATTGAAATGGATAGAATTAGTGGACGAGTGCAATTTTTGCCGTTGATTTCGCACGAAATGCAAATTTTAATTACAAGATATATATCTTACGCCACTTGACCTTTTAGTCAATAGTTATCACAATAATTATGTTGAGCATAAGCAAGACGCAGCCTCCATTTTTTCCTATGTTGATATATGCTTAACTATTAATTTATCAAAACAAATACACCGTTATGCAAGTGCATTTGGTGCTGTTTACATTACAATTTGTATGGGATTACCAACTACAGTGGTCCGATCTGAACAATATATTCATAGATCGTAGCGGGCAATCATCGATGCCATTTTGTCAAATAAAAATGTACCTATAAGGAATTTGTTTTGACCGAACACTTTGTATGGTAACTATATCTTATAGTGAGGTCAATGAACTTCTTGTTTAAATTTAGTCAAGCTCCCAAACTTTATTTACAGTTAGCCAAGTCGAAAACCTTTATTTACATTTGGGGTCAGTGACTATTTCGTTTAAATTTTATAAAGTCAATGACCTTTTTAGCCGTTAACTCGGCTATAATCGCGTAAGTGGTGACTACGCCAATCAAGAAGAAGACCCTTTTGTTTACATTTTATTAGTTCAAGGACCCTTTTGTTCACATTTAATCAAGTCCACAAACCTTTGTTTACATTTTATGGGGTAAATTACCCCTTTGTACGCATATTAGGTCAGTGGCCCGTTTGTTTACATTTTGACAAGTTGAATGACACCTTTGTTTAAATTTTTATTAGTTTAATGACCCTTTTGTTCACATTTAGCCAAGTCTGCAACCTTTGTTTACGTTTGGGGTTTTTGTTTACATTTTATAGAGTCAATGACCCTTTTTTATACACTCAGATCTTCAGATCGTACTACTATAGTATATATACAAACTGACCTATCAAAAACAAGACCTTGTATAATAAACTTTTATTTCACAAGATTTATTCACACATTTTGGCATAGACCAAGGCAATGCAACAGTCATCGAACAAAATATTTGGATAGGATCACTGTAGCATATAGCCGTCGTTCAAGCTAACTTAGTATGTTTACTGCTACAGTGATAGCTGCAATTTTAGTAATTCGCCGAGCTTTTATTACTTCTCCCTTTAATTTCTTATTATTTAACAATTTAATTAATTAATTTTTTTTTGTTTTTGTTCGTTTGCTATTTGCTCTTCACAAATACAAAAAATTCCTTGCAGTAACTTGATTCCTATCATTCAATTTATAACAACATCCAATATCAATACATGAGAAACTAGTTTAGAAGAAAGGGACGTGTATAAAACAAATCCGGATGACTGCATGTCCATCCGTCTGTACAAGCTGTAACTTGAGACAAATTTAATCTCAATCAAACTTGGCACATGTCTATTAACTAAATGTTTTAATGTAAATATCTGCCAAGCCATTTAAGCCACAAAAACCATAATCGTTCAGGATAAATCCCTTAAGCTCCCCTACCGAAAATGTAATAGTGAATGAAATCGGAAGATAACCACCGACTACTACCCATATAACGGTACTGTTAAAAAGAAATGAAACTGCGATAAATTAATAACTAAAGAAGATAGACATACAATTTTGCACCCGAGATGGTATGAGAAAGCTTAATAGGAACCGGGGAGAAAACTGGACGATGGCCGCGGCACCGTACACTTTTTGGTGAAATCACATATCTAAAATCCGCTCGACCGATGTCAACCAAATTTGGTACGTGACATTCTTCTTACATTCATTCCTATATACATATATATATATAACAGTGCGAAAATGAGCGTAACCGGTCTGCAACCACGCCTACTTCCCATTTAAAATACTTTAAGATATTTCCCTTGCTTTGATCCTTGCAAGTTGCAAGAGTATAAATTGTTGGGTTATACCCGATCTTAGCCGTTCCTTACTTCCTAATACTAGATTTATTTACCATCTATTATGTACCTTAAATAATGAAAAATTAATTTAATTAAAGTGCTTTACAGAATTCAAATAAATATTTGTTTCATTTCAAATGAAATGTTTGGATCTTTCCCCCAATCATCCGATTTATAATTAATAACTTGGATGGCGGGTTTCAGATACAAAGTAATAAATAAATTAATAATTGAATTCCGCTTTTTTATCTAATAATTTTTAGTATGAATTGGATTGATAAGATAGTAGCCGTTTTTTTTTTTATTTATAAAAAAAACATGAAGACCGCTTCTACGTGTTGCTTTTTTTTAAGTTTAGATTATTCAATACGGTAAAATTGTATTTATGAATAAAAACGCAAACGTTATTTCCGTTGTGGGAATCCACGAGGTTAAAATTTGAACATTACTTTCAAATTTGAAATGATTGAATGTCAAGTTGTTAGTTTACAATATTTGAGATAATGAGAAAGAGAGATCATTCTTAATATTATTTATAAAAATATTTATAGTTTTTAGTTATAAACATTTTTCAAACTTAATTTATTATCTTAAGCTGTAACGAAATTGTGCATTCTAACGCGGCAAGAGTATAATTTCGTCATTAAATTTTCCAGTCAAAATGGTTGCTTTCACAATATCTGCAGTAATATGTTTACGTAATCATACCGTTGCATAATTGTAGGTGAATTAATTTTTAATCGAAGTTGATGTGATGTCATTTCGGGTATGTCTCGATAATTTATAATTTCATAATTTCGTTTTGATTTTCATCATCAACAATAGTTGCGAATGATTTAAAATACAGGGTTTGTACGGAAGGTAATAGGATTGAGTCTATTTAAAAAATCGATTGAACCAATCGTTACAATTCTTTAAAAACTTTAAAAATAGGCTCCAAGGTGCATGCTGCTTCGATCCCTTCTGTCGTCTAAAATGAAAAGGAAGATCGTCTCCTTGTCTCGGGATTATACTCAAAGATCTAAGACTCGTCACCTGTGATTACGTTATTCAAAACTTGGGGATCACTTTCACGCATGTTCACAGTTTTTTGGCACACTTCCACTCGCCGCAATTTCCGGTCATCAGTGAGCACTTTTGGGACCATCTTCGCACACACCTTCGGCATGTTTAAGTGCCCAGTCACCATGTCATGAACCACAAATTTTGATAAATTTAACATCTGGGCAATTAAACGCACATGCTCCGAAGTACAGTCGCGGCGGAAGGAAATCAGTCCTATTACTTTCCGGACAAAACCTGTACATCTGATAACCCAGCAACAATTGTTATATCTAAACATTAATTTCGTCAACATTTACACTTTTAGCCACTATTGTAGACTTACTAAGGGGTACATAGGCTTCAAAAAATCTAATTTTTTTATTGTCTTATTAAGGGGTCGGTAGGGTAATCTTAAAAAAAAATGTTTGGCATTTTCTGTTCCCTTATACGCTTAGAATTAATATATAGTAGATACCCACTTTACCATTCGAAGGTTTCGTAAAAGGCCCAAAAATATTAAAACTACTCAACCGATTTGCTTAATTTTTTTTAAATGTTCACAAAACGCCTAGCTATAGTCCCTACCAGATTCATAATTTTTTTATAATTTATTGACAATGTTATGACAAAATTTATGTAAAAAAAACATGGAAAAAAATTTAAAGAAAATACGATAATTAATTTTTTTATTTATCAACATTTCTACGACAGATGTCATCAAAAGATTCCGAAAAAATCTTTTTATGCACTCCACGATATACCTCATTATGTGAAAAAATCGTAGAATAAAAATTTCAATGTAAAAAAATTTAAAAAAAACAGCCCAAATTACCCTACTGACCCCTTAATAAGAACTTGTGTCCCACTTTTATTGTCACTCAAATCTTTTTCTCGAAACTGTGTTTTTGAAATCGGTTGGCAAGATTTCTTGAGGACTAGAATTTTACACAGTTCGTTGAGATGCAATTCTTAAAGGCTTGGACGAAGGATTATTTTTTTATTATAACTATTTGAAAAAAATCGCGAAAAACCAAATTCTTAGTTGATTTTTCTTCGCCCAAGTTCTAAGTTAAGGTTTTTACTAAATAAAGGTACTTTTTCACTTTAGATGATCCTGTAAGGAGTTATCTCGCCAACGCAGGCGTTACCGTAAATGGCGTCGCAATGGCCGAGTTTAAAATATTTTTTTCCAAAAATATCAGAATTTCTTTATTAATAGTGTATGTTTGTAACAATAAAAAGTTCTAATAAATTCTAATATTTTTCACCCGAGGAAACCCATGTCATTTAATGAGCTAATCAATTTTTGCCGTGAACGGAAGTGCAGAAATTGTCTGCCAATATGATCCATGTTTTTGATTTCAGTTCTTTTCTACCATTCCCATGCTATATATTGCAATTTTACTAATTATTTCTGAAGGTCGATCAGTTTGCAATTGTCCGCATACATTTATGGTAAACTGAAGTGTTTCAGCACTTCGCCATAGAAAATACTGCTTTAACATTTGTTAATCTTTTGGACTTAAGAACAAGCGGCCTGTCGGAAATACCAGACAGTGGTAAGACAGCACAATGGAAAACTTCATCTTTGCACTTTAAATATTGCATTGGTCTGTTCGAGAATATTTGTGCACCATTATGCAGTCATTTCAAATTATATTTTAAGTTTTTTATCAACGTTGGTGCTATTTCGCTTTCTTATGTTAAATGTTGCGTTTTGTTTGTTCAGTAGAGACAATCAGTATAATTAAGTAGTTTATAACCGTAACCTTATATAGTGAGAGGACCGGGTAGTCTTCCTATGTCATCCATTGGTCCGATTACGTCCATCTACAAACTTCGTCTTATCATGTTACCAGAGAATATTTCATCAATATGCTCAAGTTTTCACTCAAGTTGCAGTTCGCACGGATGTACGGAAATACAGACAGTTACCAGGATTTTAACTCGTATCGTTATCATAATCTATCTCTACCTTTAGGTGAACAAAACTATTATACTCTGTTGCAACTGAGTATACAAATAATAAACGATGGCTGAGGCTTCTGAGAAGAGCATGTTGTAAGGAGCAAAAAAAGAGAAGAACGTTTTCTCTTCTGGGAGAATAAGAAATTCACACTTTTTAGTTGAGTTGTATTGAAGCGATTATCGACAAGTACGTTTAGTATGATAAGATAGTAGCTTGTTATTCTCCGAATTCGTATAATGCAAAAGAATAAAATATTAGAATATACATACTGAAAAAGATTAATTAATGTTATTATACGTAGTATACGTACATATACATTTAAATAAAATAAATAAGATATTCTATTATCGTTTAAAAAGTAGAAATATCGTTGACCAAGCTATATACGATCAGTTGCGTTCATAACTTCAAAGTATTTATAATGGCACTACGCTGTTCGGTGTTTTTGGCAATTCTACTTTGTTGTCAACACGCTCTTGGTTTTACCTCAACGGAAAATCTAGTATGCGGACGCGTTGTGGGGGGCACTGCAGCTGCGGCAGAGTCCGCGCCCTATATTGTTTCGTTTCAACAGAGTGATGTACATTATTGCGCAGGCAGCATTTTAAATGCAAACTGGGTACTGACGGCAGCCCACTGCTTGACCTCAAAGTCCCAAGTGTTAAGCAGTCAACTCATCGCTGGTACCAATAA